GCAGGTGTGGCTCTGGGTTCTCAGGAAGTAAGTGCTTTAATTTCATAGCGAAGCCTGTGAAGTAAAATACATCCTGGATTTGTAGAAATGGTCCAAGACCAAGTGCAGAGTCCTCCTGAACAAGGTTCCACCTGATTCAGGGGTCTGACTTTAGCCAAAATCAGAAACTTTCTCTGAGCTGGAAGTTCACAGGATTCTGACAGACCAGCACTGTCCAGACTGCTGGTGTCTTCCAGGAACCAGTTCAGGTTTAGGTCTGGCCTCTCACCGTCCTCAACCCACTGTGCCCACTGGAAACTACCTGCTGAGGAGCAGTGATCGTACCTCTCTGATTCGAGGCTTCCAGATGTGTGAGGTGTTCAGGGGAAGACTCCAGTTCCCATAAATCTCCTCTGTAAAGGAAAAAACAAATCACATGAGAGCATGTTGTTTATTTACAAAAACCAGTAACAATCAGAGAGACTTCCACCTTCACTGGGACACCTCCACCTGTCCAGACTGAGGATTGCCTGAGCAGGAATGAGGAACGCAAACGCACTTGCCTGAAAGAGAGGAAGTCTACACACAAACACACATAACTGTCAGACTCCGCCCACTCGCCTGACTCCTTAAGTCTTACCTGACTCCCTCAGACTCACCTGACACCCACGGTGGTCTGGATGAGAGTCGTGATTCCAACAGTCGTGAAAATGGTTCCAATCAGCTGACTGATGGTGCTTTGGTCTCCACCAACACACATGGCCTCAGCCAGAAGAAACGGCACAGCCACTGTACCACTGAAGCACGTCAGGTAATGCTGCACAAGGTAAAGCAGGTAACATTCACCTGTTACAAACTTCAGACTGGAGTCAACAAGGTAGCTATCCTAAAAATTTTTCCTCTAACCACCACCAAACCTGCACCAGTGATCAAACTACAAACAACCCCATCCAGTATTCCAGTTTAAACCAGTTTAGAAACAGTTTTGCTTTCTTTCCTTTTTCTGGTTTCCTTTTCACTGAATGGTACAGCAAATAATTCAGTTGTGCTTTTGGCATAATGACAATAAAACATTCTTATTCTTACTGTTTAAACCAGTATAATCCCAGGTTAAACCCAGTAATCATTGTTTAAACCAGTATAATCCCAGTTAAACCCATTTTAAACCAGTATAACCCCAGGTTAAATCAGTATAATCACAGGTTAATCACAGTAATCCCAGTTTAAACCAGTATAGTCCCCGGTTAAACCAGTATAATCCCAGGTTAAACCCAGTAATCCCAAATTAAACCAGTATAACCCACGGTTAAACTAGTATAATACCAGTTTGAACCTAGTAATCCAGTCTAAATCAATAATTACTGTTGAAATGTCTTAATCCCACAGTAGTCACATTTTCTTCTGTAATTCCAGTCTCACCTGTAATCCCAGTAGAATACACAGGTACCATGGTGGGACATCTTCAATGGTGTAAATCATGTCTGACCCCACCCTCTGCGCATCCATTGGTTGCCTCTTTTTGCTCTCTTCTGTCCTTGGCAGGTTAGGTTTATTGGGTTTGTAGCCCCTCCCCTCATGACTCTGATTGGACAGACAGAAACACCTGGTTATCAGGTGCAGCAAACATCATGATTCACTTATTAACCATTATCGATTATATATTTGTTGCTATCATTAAACAGATGTCAGAAGTCAAAACAACACTAAAGAAGAAGAAAGAACAGAAGATGTCCTTTCTCTGCATATCACTCCAGGTCCCCACATGGAAGTCAAAGGAACACACACATGTTCTATCTGAGACAGGTCACAGTGACCCTGATTAACCTGTAGACACAAAAACACCCAGTAAATTAGTCTGAAAGGATCCAGGTGTTTCCAGGTGTGCGTCAGTACTTGTAGTTGTACGGAGGTCAGTTTACCACACCTGTTGTTTGTAGGTCAGTGCTCACTGTGTGTTATCACAGTTCAGTATACCCTTCCTTTAGCAAACCTGCCCTGCTATACTTGTCCTACACCCCACCTGCTAAACTCAGTAAAACAAAACTGATCAGTAATGACTTTACCTGAATGTCGACTTCCATTTCACCTGCGGCTGTTTGACTTCGAGCAGCAAACAGAGAAAGAAAGTTCAGTTTTAGAGTCTCAGGTGAAAGTCCACACAGATTAACAGGAATTATTAACCATCACACACACACACGAGGACTCCTGTCTGTGTGAGAGCCCCGACCTGAGCATAAACCTGTCTGTGTGTGGACCCCCACCTGATTATACACCTGTCTGTGTGTGGACCCCCACCTGATTATACACCTGTCTGTGTGAGAGCCCCGACTTGATTATACACCTGTCTGTGTGTGGACCCCCACCTGATTATACACCTGTCTGTGTGTGGACCCCGACATGATTATACACCTGTCTGTGAGTGGACCCCCACCTGATTATACACCTGTCTGTGTGAGAGCCCCGACCTGATTATACACCTGTCTGTGTGTGGACCCCCACCTGATTATACACCTGTCTGTGTGTGGACCCCCGACCTGATTATACACCTGTCTGTGTGTGGACCCCCACCTGATTATACACCTGTCTGTGTGAGAGCCCCGACCTGAGCATAAACCTGTCTGTGTGTGGACCCCCACCTGATAATAAACCTGTCTGTGTGTGGACCCTGACCTGATTATACACCTGTCTGTGTGTGGACCCCCACCTGATTATACACCTGTCTGTGTGTGGACCCCCGACCTGATTATACACCTGTCTGTGAGTGGACCCCCACCTGATTATACACCTGTCTGTGTGTGGACACCCCCCCCCCACCCCACCTGATTATAAACCTGCCTGTGTGTGGACACCCCCCCCCCCCACCCCACCTGATTATACACCTGTCTGTGTGTGGACCCCCGACCTGATTATACACCTGTCTGTGTGTGGACACCCCCCCCCCCCCACCCCACCTGATTATAAACCTGCCTGTGTGTGGACACCCCCCCCCCCCCCACCCCACCTGATTATACACCTGTCTGTGAGTGGACCCCCACCTGATTATACACCTGTCTGTGTGTGGACCCCGACCTGATTATACACCCCAATTTTAGCCTCTTTACACTGGCTCCCTGTCCCCTACAGGATCCAATTTAAACTCTTACTTTTTGTTTTTAAGTCACTCAACGCCCGAGCACCCCCCTACTTGTCAGAGCTCCTCTCTGCCTATGCTCCAGGAAAACCCACGAGATCTAGTTCAAAACTATTGTTTTCCATTCCACGGACTAACCTCAAATCTCGTGGTGATAGATCCTTCTCTGTGGCAGGTCCCAGACTTTGGAATAGTCTCCCCTTAAATATTAGATCTGCTCAAACTCTTGAGCAATTTAAATCTTTACTAAAGACACACTTTTACGCTCTGGCTTTTAACACATTATGACCCAAGCATTTTGGATTTATCTGAATTAGTTAGTATTGTTTCAATTCTTCTATTTTATTGTTTCTATTGTTATTATTGTATTACACTGTAGTTTTTAATTTTATTGTTATTGTTAAGCACTTTGTGCAGCATCGGCTGTTGGAAATGTGCTATATAAATAAATCTGACCTTGACCTTGACCTTGACCTGTCTGTGTGTGGACACCCCCCCCCCCCCCCCACCCCACCTGATTATGCACCTGTCTGTGTGTGGACCCCCACCTGATTATACACCTGTCTGTGTGTGGACCCCCCCCCCACCCCACCCCACCTGATTATAAACCTGTCTGTGTGTGGACCCCAACCTGATAATAAAATAATAAACCTGCCTGTGTGTGGACCCCCCCCCCCCCACCCCACCTGATTATAAACCTGTCTGTGTGTGGACCCCAACCTGATAATAAAATAATAAACCTGCCTGTGTGTGGACACCCCCCCCCCACCCCACCTGATTATACACCTGTCTGTGTGTGGACCCCGACCTGAGCATAAACCTGTCTGTGTGTGGACCCCGACCTGATTATACACCTGTCTGTGTGTGGACCCCGACCTGAGCATAAACCTGTCTGTGTGTGGACCCCGACCTGATTATAAACCATTCTGTGTGTGGACACCCCCCCCCCCCCCCCCCCAGATTATACACCTGTCTGTGTGTGGACCCCGACCTGATTATACACCTGTCTGTGTGTGGACCCCCACCTGATTATACACCTGTCTGTGTGTGGACACCCCCCCCCACCCCACCTGATTATAAACCTGTCTGTGTGTGGACCCCGACCTGAGCATAAACCTGCCTGTGTGTGGACACCCCCCCCCCCCCCCCACCCCACCTGATTATACACCTGTCTGTGTGTGGACCCCGACCTGAGCATAAACCTGCCTGTGTGTGGACACCCCCCCCCCCCCCCCCCCCCCACCTGATTATACACCTGTCTGTGTGTGGACCCCCACCTGATTACAGCCCAGACCTATAAAACTGGTCTGGCAGAAGACAAACAGAGTCATAGAACCACATGCACCCAGTATAAACAGTAAAACAAGCAGTATAACAAGTACGTTACTTAACATAACCAGTAACAACTGATAACTAGATATTCTTCAGCTAACGTATAGGTAAGACACCCAGTATAACCATTAATTATAACTACCTGTACAACTTCAGACTCACCTGTATAGCTGCTGCTGCTCAGCTGTAGGTTTGAATGTTTCACATTAAATGCTTGCATTGATGAAATGTGGCATTTACTTTGAAAAAAAAGGCACTTCCTGCAGATTGCGTCCAATAACCCAGTGAGAGCAGTTTGACACATGCAACCTTTTATTGCATCTTGTTTACAACTTTACAAGAAGAAGAATTTCCTGTTTGCATCATTTTAAAGACATAAAAACATGTGAGAAGCAAACTTCCAGGTAAAACACAGGTGTACCTGTGGTTGTCGTGGAGACGCTGTCACAGCATAACACTGTTTCCAATCAAAACTGAGCACACCACCTGTTACAGCTGCTATGTTAGCAGTGTCCATCTGCTTGCAGCCTCTGTGGCAAGCTAAGCTAACACATCTCTGCTTCAGGTGTGTGGAGGGGTGGAGCCTCAATGCCAGGTGAGTCTTCAAGAGGACAGTGCATTCACGTGCAGCAGTAAAGTCTGTAAATCTCGGTGACATCGCTCCTTAAGCTACGAGCTGATTAGTTATTGGCTGATTGTGGAATGACAGCTGATTGGAGGACGCAAATTATAGCATTTAATGTCACTGATCCAAACCAGGTATCCATGGAAACGGGCAGTGTTCAGACCAGATCAATACATTTCTTATAAATATAAACTCTTTACTTAAATAATTATTGATTATTAATCATCTGTATCCATGTGACGATCCAGGCCCGCCCACAGACTCTCAGCCAATCACAGCGCAGGATACTCAGTGTCAGCAGCTCTTCAGCGTTGTGCTGCAGAGAGAGAGAGAGAGAGTATTGATTAGGATCACCTACTCAGACAGGGCAGCTCCCCTGTGATGTTAAGCAGGTGTTACACATCTGTGCTGATTGGCAACCAGCATGGACACGCCCGCCAAACGCTTTTAGCAGCGGTATCACATTCTCAGGTGATCAGGTGAGTGCCTGACACAGGAGATCATCAGCCTCACTGACCTGTGATACTTGCTACTGATTAACTATTCGGACAGAAGGCACTCGTTTTTGACTTCCTGTTAATAAACCTGGATTCACAAACAGGAAGTGACCTCATCGTTATGACCATTTTCACTTATTGCATGGATCAATATGTTAATGATCAGTGATTGGCTGAGTGGCACGTTAACGACATGTAGTGACTGAGAGTCACCTGCAGGTGGCGCCTCCTCGTTGTGGCGAGTCAGGCACAAAATGACAAATTTATTCCAGCAGAGCTGATCTCTGAGTAAAGTCACATCTGGATCTCGTGTTTTAGTCACAATAGCACAGAAAACACGTCCGAGGTGTAAAGTGAGGACATTTTAATAGAACTGTGGAGGCAGGACAGTCCGTGCGTCCCCGCTAACATCAGCCTGTGAGCCGAGGACAGCGGCTGGTCTGGTCTGAGGGTTCCAGCTGCTCAGCAGGCCTGATGCTGCAGCTGGACTCTTTGGATAGATGCAGTCGGCAGGTTAGCATCGTCCTGCTGTTTTTATTGTGAATAAAATATGAGTCCATGAGACTCTATTTAACTGACATTTTACTCAGAGAACTCTGGTTCTACATAAAAAAAACAGTCCCGGTGTGTCTGTGGGAACCAGTTTTTACTGGTTAACCAGCTCTGGGCTTTAGATAATAGATAATAATGCAAATCATGTGATCAAACTGAGACAGGTGAGCTGAAACCTGCAGAGTCAGAGGACGTGGACACAGATGAAGAGTGACCCTACCTATGTTTTCTTTCAATCAAGAATAATGATTCAAATCAATAACAGTTATTAATCTCTGATAACAGCTAACACTAGCAACACACATCAGCTTGAGTAGCGGTTGTAGTTTTTGACAGGATCAGAAATAAGACCATCAGAGGGACGGCTCCGAGTGAGAGAAGCTGATGGTCTGAGCATGTGCAGAGGAGGGAGGGTGGAGGATGAAGGTGGAGCTGCAGGCAGGAGGAGGAGCTCAGAGGAGGATCATGGATGCAGTGAAGAAGGACATGCAGAGCGGCGGTGTGACAGAGGAGGTGGATGAGCCTCTTATCCTGTGAACTAAAGGAATTAACCACCACCACCTGACCAGCGAACCGACCAATCAGCCAGAGGCAGATTAGAAAACGAGAGGCAAATGTGGGCAGAGTCTAGGGGCACCTGAAGGACGAAGAATAATGAGGAGGAGATCAAAGAATCAGCTGATTAGTTTACCATAGTGTAGCCGGACCCACCTCTCCAGCATTTAGCCTGAGCCTGGCCTGTCACTCTGCTTATTGATCAGTGGTTTCGTCTGTTGATTGGTTGATTTATCAGTTTATTGATTGGAGTATCTGCTGTGGTCCCAAAGCTGACCCTGACCACACAGGTGTGTTTTTAAATGTGACTGTGGTTTTTCAACCTGCTGGCACCGTCTGTGGTGATGATGCGATACTGTTGGTTGTCATGGTGAAGCTAGGGGTCTGTGTTCTACCCTGGTCTGTGAGGGGTGGGTGCTGACTGACAGAAGACTGACACACTGTGACC